GAGGGCAGTGTCACTGGCCCTCATATGTGGGATCCGAACCGGGGCCCTCTGGCGTCCCAAGCCAGTTCTTAACCATCGCGCCACTCGGCCGGCCCCAGATCTAATTGTTAATACTGGACCTCACACGCAGTTCTTGGAATTGCAGGTAACTCAGGAAGAAGGACAGCAGTTAGCACGACAGCTGAAGGTAATATACATGGAGGCTTCCGCAAAGATTAGGATGAATGTCGATCAAGCTTTCCATGAACTTGTCCGGGTTATAAGGTAAGCAAGCACATTCTAGAAGTTTGGTTTAGTTCATTGAGTTTGACAGGTAATCATACCATGCTTTTTAAAACTGTTCACTGAGAAAAAAAATACCATTGATGTTTTTAGTAAGGAAGAGGACATTGTATGTAGGAATGATTCTGTTCTAAGGATTAATACACGTGGTTTGTTAAAATTTTTAATTAAGTACATATATTCTAGGTACTTCTTACATATAACACCTTATTTAGGTATAATGAAGTAGAGAGTATACACATAGGGATTTTGGAAATAATTTATGCAGCTTCCAAAGATGGTGGTGGTACGAAGATAGTGATGACAGCAGCTAACATTTGAGTAGTAGTTTCTGCCAGATACTGTGCTAAGTGCTTTACATATCTTATTAATACATTTAATCTTCACTGCAACCCAGTAAGCCAAATACTTTGATTTATCCCCACTTTCAGATGAGAAAACAGGTTAAATAACTTGTTCAAAGCTTAGACGTATTAAATGGCAGAGCTAGGACTTGAATTCCGTATCTCCAATTCCAGAGCCTGTGCTCTTAGCGTTGCTTCTTACCCAACTCCTCCAAGGTAAAGAGCAAGCCAAGTAGTAGAGATTTACCATCCCAGAGGCCAGGAAGTATATATCCAGACTACAAAGAATGTTTCTGGTAGCTGGCCTAGGAGGCCCCTGTGGCTCAGAAAGTGTTAATGGGTTCCAGAAATCTTGAGGTGATGGCTGAAGTCACCTGGAGTTACTGTATATGTTTGTGGGAGAGAAAGATCGAGGTGCTTTCTTGGGCAGGGTTTGATGTGATTATTCTGAGCCCTACTTCACCCTCTGCTCTCTGGATCGGCTGGTTTCTCTGCTAGTTCCATAGTTGGACAGGTATGTGGAGTGGGCTCATGTTAATTGTGTATCTAAGCTTAATTGATATCTGAGCTATGGACTTCTTGTAATTTTTAGCCTCTTGCCCAAGCATTCTCTTTGAAGGGCGTGGGAAAAAGTAAAGATTATAGTTTTTTGTTTTTTTAGTAGTTTGAAGAGTACAGTCTTAATTTTGCAAGATGAAAGAATTCTGGAGATGGATGCTGGTGATGGTTGTATTAATACAACATTGTGAATGTATTTACTTTATTTTTTAAAATTTTTTTGTAATGAAGAATATATAAGATTTATTACAATATGCATATTGCCAGCCAGCTCAGCAGCAACTTTCTTAAAGAGAGGCTGAAGGGAGAAAAAGGTGTGAATGTGGACATTTAAAATTCATTAACATTACAGACACAGTGTTTATTCTAGACTTTCTCTTGCCACCAAATACACCATTTAATCCAATCATTTAAAACAATAGTTTCTTGATCTAACATGAAGAAAAATCTAGCCCCCACCTCTCCTTTAAAAAAAAAAATTATTCTGGCTCTTAGCCCCCGAATCTGAAACTCAGAATGAAAATAATGGTGAGTCAGGGTTGGTTCCATAGTCTTCACTTGTGACAAACACTGTAAAACCTGGTGCCTGAGTCGAAAGCAGCTGACCTGACCAGGAAGCAGCTCCAGCTTGTGGTGACTGGAAGGGCCTAGAAGAGCCACCCACCTGCGCTCACCTGAGCAGAGCGTCCCTCATGTGGCTCTCAGACCAGCAACAGGACATCACCAGGAGCTTGTTGGAAATGCAGGCAGTAAACTGGTGAGGATAAAGGCACACCACAGGCCATATAATGATACCGAATCACCATCGCTTGAAAATGGGCTCTGCAAACCACTAACAACAGAGGGAGACAGTTCTCTGGGCAGACAGTCAGGAGTCACACTCCATTTTTCCTCAGTTTTATATCTCACTGGCTTCATTTTACGTCGAAGGGTATATATTTTTAAGAACCCAAGAGAAGAAAGAAACATCTCAATATTACTAGAGTCTGGGGGGTTTCTGTACTGAAAGACGGGAACATTATCATCAGTAGTGGCAGCTGCAGCTAAGAACACTAGTACCGAGTAAGATGCTGTTACTAGTACCCAGTAAGATGCTGCTGTTACTAGTACCCAATAAGATGCTATTGTTACTAGTAGCCAGTAAGATGCTATCGTTACCAGTAGCCAGTAAGATGCTATTGTTACTAGTAGCCAGTAAGATGCTATCGTTACCAGTAGCCAGTAGGATGCTATTGTTACTAGTACCGAGTAGGATGCTATCGTGACTAGTACTGAGTAGGATGCTAGTACCCAGTAGGATGCTATCGTTACTAATACCCAGTAGGATGCTTTCATTACTAGTACCGAGTAGGATGCTATTACTAGTACCCAGTAAGATGCTATCATTTGCCATCATTGTGGCAAGAGGTTTATCACCAGTAAACAACAGCTGGCAGTGGGGAACTGGGCACTAGAAAAGACAAGGAAACTCTCCTTACCTAGTGTATGTTGTGAAAGCAGAATCAGGAAAAGCAACCTGACCGAGTTGTGAATATATTTAAATGCCAGTGAACTGGACACTTAAAAATGGTTAAGATGGTAAGTTTTATGTTATGTGTATTTTAACACACACACACACACACACACACACACACACACACACACACACACACACACACACCAGTGCTTTCTTAAAATAATTTTTACTGCCTTTTTGAAATATTTTGTCCTTGGTTTTGATCCTCAGAATCTATAATCATCAATCAATCAAAAGAGAGGAGGGGGTAGAGAGGCTTTTTTATGCCAGGTACCGTTAGGCATTTAAACATAACAAGATCTTCTTTAATCCTCATAGCAACTATAAAAGGTGAGGTTTTATTATTGCCTTCTAAAACACGGAGGCTCAAAGAGGTTAGCTAACTTGTCTAATACTGACTTACAGCTCGTGAGTGGTAGAACAGGGTTAGAAACGAATACCTCATAAGGGTGATTTTATATTGTACTCTAATGATGGGTGTTTATTCTTAAGTATATCTCAGAGTCATGGAATTTTAAATTGAGAAGGGGATTTAGAGGCTACTGAGCTCAGCATCTCATCTGATTTAAGACTTGCCCGTTAATGAAACGCAGACAGCTCTGTTACACTGGTGAAGCATTTGTGCCTCCCCTACCCCAAAGATTTGCTGTTATTCCCTAGTTGAAATTCCACATTGAAAAGCATGTTTGTGCACTAGACTTGTCCAAAAATAACCTGCAGTTGTACTAATACATTACCAAGAAGGCAACTCTATGTGGATTTTTCTGTTCTTACAGGAAATTTCAAGAGCAGGAATGTCCTCCTTCACCAGAGCCGACACGGAAAGAAAAAGACAAGAAAGGCTGCCATTGTGTCATTTTCTAAGAATCCCTTGAGTGTTAGCTACCAACTGCCAGGAAAAGCCCTCATCGTCTCTCCTTATGGTTTACATCACATTGGTACCTTTCTAGCCTTAGACAAATGATCACCATGGTAGCCTTAGAACAAGAAGCTGGCTAATCCTTCCCGTGAAGCTAATCCTATGGTCATTTCAAGGCAGATTTAAAGGAAACACTAAGGCTGCTTCAAAGATTATCTGATTATTTTAAATATATATCTGCGTACACAGATGCATTCTTTTTTAAGGGCTTACATTTTAATAGGGATCGATTGGTTTTGGAACCTAAGCTCTTTGCCAACCTGAAGTCATAGGTTATGAAATAACTTTTAACTTCTGGAATCATATTGCCTACTATTACTCTAAATAGAAATATAGGGAGTTTTTTCTTAAAAATGTGAATTTTTGTCTGTCTCTAAAAAGTTTGATGTCACCTTCAATTAATTTTACACTGAATTGAATCCCCAAAAGTGAGACATCTCAGATCTTTACTGATGCTACAGCCTTTGTTTTCCAGTAGCCAAAATACCAAAATGCCTATTGTATTTATTGATTAAAAACTACTTTAAAACTCTTTATTATTACTCCTGCTCTTAAAAATGATAATATCTTATGTGGCCAAATCTTTGGACTCATTCTGGATTTAGGCGTTTCAATGTTCGTGGTTTTCTAATTTAACTCTTTTCACAATCATGTTGGAGTAAAAATAAATAATTTCTGTCTGTCTTCCTTTTTAAGTATTTCTGGATAAGGGATTCAAAAAAACTAAAACTGTTTTTGTTTGTAATATAAAATATGGAATTGACCTTTCCAGGGTCAGAGATGATTAATGTTTTTGCTATATACTTTTATACATTATTTTCTTATCAAACTAGTTAACAAGTATTTTTATATGTTTGTAAGCAACTGTACTTTCACAGCATACCTTGTGTATATGTAAAGATAAGTATTTAATTTTCACTGTTCACTTTTAACTGACAAAAGAAGTGAAAACTACAGAATCTGCGGTAGAACTTTACTGGTCCTGGTTGTATGCACCTTTGGCCAGTCACACAGCTACTCAAGAAACCTTCCCAATACAGTACAACAGGACGAGTATCTGAAATCACTTTCAACACCCCCTGTTAGATATTGACTGTTCTATCAAGTAGTACTTGTAAAACTTTTCATTGACAATTAGTGTAACTGTGGTTAGCTTCTGATTTTGTTTTGAATTCTGTGGATTGTGTTTAAACAATTCAAAAGTTTGTTCCTGATTTTGAGATACTGAGTGGTATTGCACAGTTGTCACTTTATTGAACGTGTACAACAGTCCCATGAGGTTTATAAAGCATACCCTTGTATAGCTTCAGGTGCTAGAATTAAAATTGATCTGTTATCACAAGATGATGCTTGATGCCTTGTTATTGTGGTGGCTTCTTGAAAGGATGAGTGTTGGAGGAAACTTAATTTTAGTAGCTCTAAGCCTTTTCCCAACAATACCTTAGGCTTTGAATCTAAAAGTCAATTATTGGTCATTTAGTAGACGAATTGATGTGAAATGGCTTGGCCTTCCTCAGTGATTTCTTGAATAGTTCCTAAAGTCACTATTTCTTAAACTCTTTCTAATGAAGTGCTCTTGATGAGAACCCCAACCACAGAGGATAGAGGAGGGTGAATGCATCTGAGGGTGAAGCCTAAAACACCTGAAGCAAAGCACACACACTTATTTGAATGTTAACTAAAATTGCTGCCAAGGAAGATACCACGTTTATCCTGTGGCTTTTGGTACTAGAACACTATCCTTATTAGTACTTTCGGTTGAGAAAGTTTTTATCTATCATGGGTAACTTCAGATGAAAAGAAACTGTGTAATATCCAGATTTAATAGGAAACCTTTTATTTTATTCAGAGTAGATAATTTGTAGCAAAGCAGCCTGAAAGTTACATTTTGTTATCTCAGTTTACTTTTTTTCTCTATGTGCTTCATTTGGATCATTGTTATTGCTCCATCTTGAAGTTTCCTAACCTTATCTTCTGCAATTGTTTAATTTGCCATTAATCCCATCCAATGAAATTTTCATTTCATACCTTCCTTTTCCTTTTCTAGAAGTTCTGTTTTATGTTTTTTTTTTTTAAAATATACTCTTTCTCTCCTCATTATGTCCTCTCTCAACTGGGTTCCCAGAGAATTGAGTTTAATGCCTTATCTGTTGTTTGTAATGGATTAACTTCCCTTCTGTGCATCCAGAATGTTCCTAGCTGTGTACCATCCTTGGGAGATTTGAGAAAACAATCACTTAAATAACTTTCTATAGAGCTTAATTCTCTCACAGAACCCTGGTTGAGAAAGGCTGCTTTGAATATTTGAACATGATTATAATAGCTATTGTGACGTTCTTTTCTGCTTAACCTTTCCTCTTTATAATTTTTAAATGTTTCTACTGTCTAATTTTTCTCTAGTTATGGGTCACATTTTCTTGCTTTTTCACCTGTCTCTTTAAAGTTTTGATTGGATGCTAGACATTGTGTATTTTATATTTTTGGGTGCCTAGATTTTGTTGTCTTAAAGATTGTTGGATTTTGTTCTGGCAGTCAGTTCAGTTGTATTCTTCTAAGGCTTGTTTTTAAGCTTCATGCAGTTTCAAGTAGCTTTTTCCCAGGATAGTTGAGAATCACTCCTGGGTGTGGCCCATTTGGGGTCTCTACTGAATGCCCTAAGTAATCAGTGAGGACTCTCCACTTTGGCTAGTGGGAACTGAAACAATTCGCAGCCCCATGTGAGCTCTGGGCATCATTTCTATTCACAGCTTCTGGGTCATTCTTGGCCCAGCCTCCTGGAGTTTCACCCTGAACATGGGTATTTTAAAATTCAGCCAAGACTCATTGACCCTATGCATATTTTTGGAGCTCTTTTTCTGTGTAGCTCTCTCCTCTCCAGAACTTTGTCCTGCAACTTTCAGCTGCCTCAAACTCCCTGATCTCCAGTGTCTGCCTTTTCAGCTCAGGGAAAACATTTGTACTCAGCTTAGAATTCCCCATCCCTTCTGCAATCTGGAGTGTGCCTCTAGGCACAAAGCCAGGGCAGTTTTAAGGCTTACCTTGTTTCTCTTCCATCAGGGATTGTAGTCCTACGCTGCTTGGTATATACTGTCTGAGAACAATTGTTTCACATATTTACTCCAGTTTTCTGATGGTCTGAGTGAGGTAGGAGGGTAAATCCGGTTCCTGTTACTCCATGGTTGGAGCTGAAATCTCTCCCATTTGATTGCCATCATACAGTTAGAGGTGCCTTGTAGTCCTCTTAATCTATGGCTTGAAATCTTTATAGCTGGGGGTTGGCAAACTTTTTCTGATATTCAGATAGTAAATATCATTTTGGGCTTTGTGGGCCATATAATTTCTGCATCAGCTTCTCAACTCAGCCATTGTAGCACTGAAGCAGCCATAAGTAATGTTTAAATGAATGAATGTGGCTGTTCCAATGAAACTTTATTTGTGGATACTGAAATTTGTATTTCATACCATTTCCATATGTCATGCAATATTAATCTTCTTTTGAATTTTCTTTTAAAAATTCATTTAAGATTGGAAAAACCATTTTGTACAAAAACAGATGGCAGACCGGATTTGATCTGTGGGCCGTGATTTGCCAGTCCTGCTCTTTAGCACATTTAGTATTTGAGGTTACATTTCTAACTTTAGAATCTGGTGTGTTTCTGTAGATATGTTGAAATTCTTTCAAACAGGATTTCCTGAGTTGTCAGTCATGAATTCCTGTCCTAGGAATTTTCTCCCTGTTTAAGGATTTGTAATATTTTAGAGTTGGACATTGTGCCCTGTTGACATTCATCTTACATTGATAATTCTCTAAATTTGGAGCTTTCGAGTTTTATAATATAAATTGGTTCCTTACTTCACCCTTTGACTTGTGAAATTTGAAGTAACATGGTTATATATACTTAGGGCCTAGCCTGTTCTTATTCTAACTTTTTCACCACTTTTTGTAATTTATTTCTTTTTCCGTTCCTACACGTAACAAGCCCATTGAACAGGTAACTGGCAGGTAAATAGGAGGAGGTGATGGTAAAGTGGTCATTTTCAGAATTACTTGACCATTCACAGATATTTAACCAATGATTGCTTATAAAGTTTCAAAGTCCTTTTTAGAAAAAAAGGTATTTTCATGGGAACAGATTTCTTTGTACAAGAATTTACTAGGTGTTCTGGGGAAATGGATAAATTGGAGCTTTTACTTCCTACAAATTATTCAGTATCTAGTGGAGGAAGATTTAGGAGTGGCAAAAACGAATGCCGGGACTGTAGAGTTAAGGCAGACAGAGAGGAAAGCATGCAAAAGTGGTCAGGTCCAGTAGAAGTGAGGGGATCGATTCCTCCTGTAATATATGAAGAAGCTTCTTAATTAGAAGTGGTATTATAGCTGAAGCTGGAGCGATTGGTAGGATTTAAGGTGGACGGAGAGGAGCAGGTGGAGGTGCCGGCAGAAAGCCTGGGTAGAGGCACAGAGTTGGCTGAAGCAGCGCGTATCCTGCGATTAGAAGCTTAATCTAAAAGGACCTTAAGTGCAGTTGGGAAAAAATGATACAATAGACTCAGCTTGGGTTGTGAGTGCTTTAAGTAGGATGGCCCTTCTGTATATAATGGAAAATTGCCAAGGATTCTGAGCAAGGGGTGCCCGGATCTAACCTAGTAGTGTGAGTAATGGAAGTGTAGATTTAAGGAAAGGTAGTCAGGTAAGAGGTTATTGGAATCATGGATCGATCTGTCATCTGTTTGTTCTGCCACTTTTGTCTAAGCTCCTTATCTTACACCCAGGTTACTACTAGGGCCTCTGAAGTAGTCTTTTTATTTCCATTTTGCCCCCATAAAGCTATTTCAGTGCAGCCAAAGGGATATTTTTTAGACCATAAGTTAAACGTTACACTGCTGCTTAAAATCAGTTGTCATATCAGTGCGCTTGGAGTAATATCCAAATTTCTTACCACAGTGTACCAGGAACGGTCATCTTCCTGCTTCTCACTTACATTCAAGCTGATGTGCTTTCTTACACCCTAAAACACACCATGTATTTCCCAAATCAGTTGCTTCACTCAACTGTTCCATTTAGCTGTTTCCTCCTTTTGCTCTTGGCTCAGGTGCCACCTCTTTGCGAGCCCCTTTGACCACCTGTTCTAATATTACACTGCCCTGTATTTCCTTAATGACAGTTACCATCTGGTTATTTTGTCTGGCCTGCACCCTGGTGACATAAGTTCGGAGAAGGCAGAACCCTGTCTGCTGTGTTTGCTGCTTTACCCATATTGCCCGGCATGTGCAGAAAAACCCTTCAATGAAGGAGGAAGGAGCATAGGCAGCCCTCTTGTGATACAATGTATTTGTAATTGTGGCAGTTACACACCGGGTCAGTCCCGGAGGCATTTGGGGATGGGGAATGGAGCTCAAACCAAGAGGTGAGGACTAAAAGTGCAGATCTGGAATTTACCTATTTTGAGCTAATGATTGAAGAAGTGGGAGTGGGTTGAGGTACAGTGTGTTTGAGGGAAAGTTCAAAGGAAAAGGAACATTTGAGGGTAGAAGATTAAGAGGCAGCAAAAAGCCAAGAGAAGCAGCCAGAAACGAGAGAACCAGGGGAGTTGTCGAGGGCAGGTTAGTGGTGAAAAGCTTTGAGTGCCGAGCAGGGGTGGGGGGAAAGAGGCAGCAGTGATCACTCAGAGGTTGCTGCTTGCTTTGAGAGATTCGTTTCAGTCATCTGGTTGTGGAAACCCGGTTACAGTAGGTTGAGGTACGATTGGAGGCCAAGGAAGTAAGTGTGGGCTACTCTTCTGAGAAATTCTGTGGCAAAATCAGGATGATGGGGCAATTCTCTCGCTAGATAGGGTAGGATGTTAGAGGAGTAAGAAAGAGAGCCAGTGGTGGGTACTTAATTGTAGATGTGTAGTTGTACAGGTCTGGGAGTACATTTTTCATCTCTACTGTTGTGGACTGATACTTTTGCTAACTGTAATAATAAAAAAAAGAATTACTAGAAAACTAATCATACTCTTGGATATCGTGCAGTGTCAAGTTGTTATAAAAGTTTCTCAGCGCTTGCTTTCATCTCATTGTGGGATGGTAATTAATGGCTATGGGTGTTCGCAGGCTGCATATCTCACTTTACGTAGCACTAATGTAGCAGGTAAGGGAGCAGGAAATTCGGGTGTTTTTCACGAGTGGGCCTTCTGACTTCCCGGAGAATTCCAGGTTAAGATCACCCAGCAGGAGTTACATGCTAGTACCGGAAAAAGACTCTAGTTTTACAAACCTCAAGTATTGTAGACAAGTTGGTAGTCTTGAATAGGATGTTTGCCCTTTTCCCTTCCGCGATTACCTACTTGATATAAATTATTTGAAATAAAGGACTCTTTAAACATATATAACTGCTTCAAGTATGAGAACTGTCACCAATCAATTCTAAAGCCAGGAAGTAGTTATGAACATGCTCTTGAGTTTTCTGAAACATTTAGAGCAATATGAGAAAATGATAACGAATGCTATCTTATGTTTACGACATTATGAGTGTTAAGTGAAAAGTCTGAAATTGCATTTTGCTCTGGTGATACCTGGGTAGAAGTGTGGCACATGTATTTTATTGGTCAGGACATTTTCAGTTATAAGTGACTGATATGCAACTCAAGCCAGCTTCAACACAAAGTGGACATTTACTGGTTTATAAAGAAGTGAGGGATTGGTGGGGTGAAACTGGCTTTCAGTGACCCCTGTGTCAAGATACCATCAGGACTTGCTCTCAAGATGAGAACAGGCTAAAATTATGGAGGTGGGGTCAAGAAATTCTTTAGTGTAAGAAAGCTTGTATGAAAGCCTGAAGCCAGAAGAAGTAAAGTAACTGGCCCCAGCTCCCACAGCTTCTCAGGGGTATAGCGGTGTTTGAACCCAGGTTCCCCTTGTTTAACATTACACGACTTCTGCCTCTCTGCCCTACAGAGTGCATAAAACCTGACCCAACAGGCTGTCTAAAGCAGGGACGCCGTGATTTAAATTTGGCATTTTAGTACAGATCTTTTGCTCACAGATTTCAAAGGATTTAAATGGAAGAATTGTCTTAATGCTCATTAGCATTCAGCTGCTATTTATAGTTTGTTAGAGCATCTCATTTTCAGAAGGAATTAATTTATTTTCATTCTATCAACTTTGGGCAATATGAAGAACAAAATGAATCATTCTATTATTTAAATTAATAGCATCAAATAACCAACTAGTGGAATGTCTGTGTCTTCCTTGATTCTGTGTTGTAATTAGGGATTAAACATTTATGTTTAGTCTTGTATGGACAATAGTAACTATTTCTTTAGCATATAAATATTTAACTCTGGGGAAAAAGGGACTGACGGTACAATCCCGGTACGCTTTAATATTTAACTCTTTTAACTATTGCCTGAAAAACGTGGGCTATTTGTAAGGTCACAGAAATAATTTGACATGGACAATTTTTGAAATTTTAGCCAGATTCTAAGTTTCTGGAGAATTATAGTCATGTGAGAATGTGTAATGTATCCTTACTTCCTGGAAGAGATACAAGACTTTGAGTATGCCTAAAACATGTTTAATACAAAAGTTCAAGTTAAAAACAGCACAAAATCTTTTAATTTTTCAATTTCGGGTCCGAAGAAGCCCAGGCTTTATTCTTATTTACTACAAGATTTCCTTCAAATAATGCATTGGCAAGATGACAGGTGAGTGACCCAATGTCTGGTTAGGGAATATATCTGTGAATTTATTGTAATCTTAAAATGTGGATGTAAATTGGATTGCAGCTGGTTTGACATTGACTAAATACATACAAGTATAATTATTCTTTATATGGCAATTTTTGCCTTATGATCTATTTACTGTCTCAAGCGGAAGTCCAAACAGATTTCATTTTTGTAGTAAAAAGTCTTTTATTTCCAAAATGATTGGTTAGCCAGAAAAACTATAAATCACCTAACACAAGACTTTGGTAAGAGATTTGATGCTTCATATAAATTCCCCCTTGCAAACAATAGAATAATACCTACGTAACAAGAAAATGTTACCCATTCTCAGCCATTAACCAGGTACCTGGTTTTGATTCTCCAAAATTAGGATTAAAAATGTACCCAGTAGGGACTAAACAAAAATTTGAGACACTAGGGTGGCCTGTCTGTAGAGTTACTTAGAAATCAACTGTCCTAAGAAACTTTGATTTTCATCTTTTGAGAATAAGGATGTACGCCTCCAGATAGCTAAGAGTAATGTTGCAAAAGTTTGTGGGCAGACTCTATATCAAGACTTTTTTGTCCAAGTAGAAAATGAAACCTTATTTTTTTATATTGTGTTCCCTTGCGGGAGGAGGAAGCTCTTGAAGGGTTACAACAATAATGTTGGTAACAACTCAAAGCTGCAGAAACTAAGAGATGTGGGAATAATGGCCCCCCAGAATGAGGGAGCAAAAACAGTATCCTTTGCTAAATATGGTTGAGGTGGATAATAATTCTCAACAGACCCAACCTTCTAACCATTTAATTAGTTTAAAAACACAAAAGACAGACCCAAATGAATTTTTTATTGAACAGTCTCTTGTGTTAAAGAAAATACAGATTCAGGGCTATAGCATATATATGTTGTGTTTGGAAATATCCCGATGTGTTTAATGCGAATTCTTAAAATAGTGTATTCGAAGCATTTTAATGTATCTCATCCATGATACACATTTGGATTAAGCATAATGAAAAAGACCTGCAACAGAAATGAAACATTTTTGACAATAAACGAATGAGTAAAAACTGTAGATGGACTCAACTCAGTAAAATGTCCTTTGACGCTAATCCTTGGTAGTCAGCCCCCTTGAACTTGGTGTGCTTATAGTGTTCAGAAGGTGATGGAAGACCACGGCCCTCCCCGTGGATGAGGGAGGACCAGAGCTGAGAGGAGAGTTGACATGGGTTTGATTTCCCTCCAGATTTTCTTGCCCAGCTTGATTCTGTAATATTCTTTCCCCCTAGATTTCTATCTTTCTTGGTCTTTGCAACACGTTTTCTTTCTACAATATAGAATTGTATGACTAAAAAACCTTTTAAAATACAGAGATAATATTTTTTTGAAGGAATGGCTTATTGGGCTGCAAAATGTTTGCATAACAAAGTTTTCTTGTTAGAACTGGTTTGAAAACTTAGAAGTCTAGATGTGTGTTGGAAAATCGTAAAAACTCATTTGGGACTGCTAAGGAGGCCAGTTTTGCTGCTTGGCCTTGGTTCTAGTGAAGTTTTAATAGCAGAAGGTTCATGAGGCTGTCTTCTTAGGAGAATTGTAGCCAAAAAAGAAAAACCACCACCAACAAAAACCCCAAAAACAAAGAAGGGAAAAATCTTTTCTAGACTCAGTTACAACTTTGTGTCAGGTGTAAGAACTGGCAACCTTACGTTCAAATAAAGCAGCTATCATTCCCTTCGGGGTATCAAGAACCAATATTAGAAGGTGAGATAAATGTATTCAGAACTTCTCAGCAAAAGAAGAAAGCCACCCGACATCAATGCTCCCCTTCGGGCCTACCAGCTCTGTTTTCCCCCAAGAACTATTGATGACTCAGGAGGCTCAACAAAGACACCGAAAGTTCCACTAAGTGAAGAGAGATGGGCGAACAATAGCTTCCTGCAAGAGAGCGCGGGCGAAAATGAGAATGAGGGGATCTGCTCTCTGTCCGATGGGGGATTTTTCCTGCTGCACCCTGGGATTGAGGCACAGTCATTTCCAGACACACTTGCCTCTCCATGTTCTGCCCAGGTGGATACCCCAGAGGGACATATTTCTGTTTGGTACAGGGTGGCTGACATGACTCATGTCTGCTGGAGGAGGGCCGGCTGCGGATGAGGGAGCCCTACTCAGCCTGTGCCTACTGAGAAGTGTACAGAAAGGATGTCCCTGGCATCCACAGACTACTGGGCAAACCACACTGCAGAAGTGAAAACTAGGGTACACAATTTAAATTGCCTTAAACAAACAAGCAAACAAACGATCCAGCCATTGGTGACTGTGGAATCTAGAGTGCAGCCCTGGAAAACTCGCACCCTTGCTAACAAGTGTGAACATTGCATGCTCTGATCTCCTTCTTGTCTTTGCAGCTGGTAAACTGGGAGCTTTTGAATCTCTTCTTTACAGTCATGTAGCGTTCCTGAATCCCGCCTCCGCACAGTTTGGTGCACTCCGACCAGGCCGTCCACGGGCGCATCCGACAGCCTGTAAGCATGAAAAAGCCTGGTTAGGCCAGCAGATATTGGGGGCAGAACAGAGGTGCTGAACTCTACTAAACAACTGTCAAATCCAGCGGTCTGGGCATCTCTGCTCTTGTATGTAATGAGTTGTTGAATTACATAATGGTTAGCGTCCTTATTGTTAGCTCGTAGGTGACAAACTGCAAAAAATGGCCATAAAGACTTGGCAGCTCTTCCCATGAAAGGGCAGCATGTATTTCTCCACCTTGAATCTGGGCTTGATGATATGGTTTGCTTTGGCCAATGGGAGGTGAGCAAACATGTCTTGAGAAAAGCTGCTGGGGACCCTTCCACCACTATGTGAGAAAGCCTGGCTTTCCACATATTGGAAAGATCATGTAGGGAGAGGCCCCAGCAATGCAGGTGAGGGCGGTCTAGAAGCTGCAGCCCTCTCTGAGCCATCAGCTGACGGTAATCACATGAGGAGCCTAAGCTAGACCTCAGAAGTCCCATCCAGCTGAGCCAGCCCAAGTCACTGAACCACAGAATCATGTTAATAAATGACTTTTAAATAGCTACTGTTTTGGGGTAGACTTATTAATGCAGCAGCTGCTCAGGCTTTCTCTCAGGCTTTGGTCCCCAAGTACTTAGCCTCCCAAATTCTAAGTAAACTCAAATCTAAATTATTTTTCTTACAAAACATACCCTTACCAAAGAAAACTCCCTTGACCCCCAGATGTTAGATCTTCATAAAAAATGTTTCCTTGGCATTGTATATATGACTCCTTTGTCTATAATCATTCAATATTAAGTTTGATGGAGAAGACTGCCATAGTGCCTGCCTGGCACATAGTGGGGCTTAATGAATGTTTGTTGACTGACTGACTGACTGACAACCATGTGCAACAGACAACATTTTGATATGTTAGAGGAAGGCCGGCTCCCTAATGGAAAGACTGAACTGTCATGAAGCTCTTCATATCTGCATTTCTCTCGTCACCCTAGATGGAGGTAGACTGTCTTACAGAAAAGAGAAGAAGGGGTAATTTGAACTATGCCTTTAAAAATAGTCAAACTCAGCATACCATCAACCTTCATGTTAACACGGGCACCTTGTGCAGGAAAGACCATCCACTGGCCTGTACCCAAGGCTGAACCATGTATCTTCCCAACTCACTGTTTCATCATTTAGTTGATAATGCTTGGCTCGGAGCAGCTTATTCAGCAGTGAAGCCCCAGGTGGGGTTTTTTTGTGTTTTTTTTTTTTTAAATAACTGGCCTCTGTGTCTCTTTGCCACTTCCAAACCACTCAACACGTCTGTAAAAGTCATATTCCTGCTTCAAACTTTCACCCACAGAACCAAGTCTCAAATCTTCAGCAGGCCACTAGACCTTTTCTGGTCTGGTTCCTACCTCTCCGACCTGGTTTCTTTCCTCTCCCCTTGTTCTCTGCTCCGTCTGCATCCCATTTACTGCTTAGACATACTATGCTCTTGGGTATCTCTGTGCGTCTGCAATTACCATTCCTGCTGCCTGGGATGCCCTTCTGTAACTGTCAAACTCCTACAGGTTCTTCAAGACCCACTCTAATCTCTCCCGCTGTGCCATCTCCCTGAACTCCAGCCTCACCCTGGGGAGCAGCACCTGGGAACTGCTCCCCATCAGACTCTTCTCTCAGCGGCTCACTCCTCCGGCTCTCTCGGTCCTCCCTCCAGCGCAGCTTCTGGATGGATGAATTTCGGAAGCATTTCCGGATGCGGCACTTTTTTCGCTGCACAGTCTCTGGGCAGGGTGCACCTCCAAACTGAGGCTCCATTTGGATCATCCGGGTCCGAATCATGTGGCCTTTCCCACATGACTTGTTACATTCCGACCACTGGGACCACTCGGTGAGCTCACAGTCAATGGCTGGCAAGACACAGACGGGCATGAGTGTATCATGTCTGCAACAAGGTATGATCACTGACACTCCTTTGAACATCTCAACACAAGCCTAAGAGAAAATGCAAAGCAGGTGCGGTTTTCCCATGTTGCAGAAAGCCCTGAGGCTCCAAGAGGCAGACTGACCTTGTCTAGCCCATGTGCTTGGTAAGCAGTAGAGGCAGGGTCGGTGTCCAGGTCATAACCCACATCCTGTGCCCTCTCTATGACTCAAGAAGGCTTTGGGGGCACTTTGAACATGTGCTCAGAGCCTCTCGCTGCGAGCTTCTAGAATAGACCTGAATCTGGGCAAGCAGACTGAGTAATAAGGGAGAGGAGCATGAAATAACTACAAGTGCAACAAGTGTGCCTGACGTTCCACCACCTGAGAGAAGCTCTCTTAGGGCACTAGCCAGAAAAACAGCCTCTCCTCCCCTTGGAGGCGAGTACCCATGAAATACATACAGCGGGTCACAGATTCTGGAGGAGATGGGGGTGGGCAGTGAGCTTGTGAGAGCCTGGCTTGTTTTCCTGCTGGCTCGTCTTATCAAGGCTGCAGGGGAACGGGTGTCTCTGACTTAATGGACACCCTTTGGTCATGGGTAAATAAAAAGGTCACAGGGAGGAGGAATAGAATTAAAAAGCTTGGACAATCCATTGGTCAGATAGCCCTTAATTGGGGTGGGGGAGGGGAAGAATTAAGGTTTACCAAGCCTGTGCTAAGTGTTTTTCATCCAAGTCTCCTGTGTAGACTTCATAGCAACTTGTAATTTGTGTGTTTTGCAGACAGTAGTGGGATCCTCATTATTAAGGAGATTGAGAGTTTAAATAACTTTGCTAACCCAGAGGTCCAAACCCATGCTCTTTCTCCCCCGCAAACAGCTGGACTCTATAACCTAGCAGTGTGATCCCCACACAGGGCTGGTTACTAGGAGCTGTAGGACTTACGGCACTCAGGCAGCATGCACTTTTCCACCTGCTCCAGCTCCTCATTGCAGTCCCCGAGTTCAGCCAGAGACTTGAGCATCCGCTGGCGGGTCCGCATGCCCTTCCCACAGGTCACGCTGCAGTCACTCCACTCGGACCACGGAGACAGCAAGCATGGGATGGTGTCTAGGCCGAGAGACAGGTTTGCTGCTGACAACAGGCCCCCTTTGCTTTCTTTGATGTTGTACTCCCTCATCCCCTGTCCCACACTCTGGCCCCTGGAGTAAAGTGAAACTGACGGGTGGGTTCACATAACCCAACTGAACCCCACGGGGCAAGAAGTGGCTTAGCAGACTACTGCTCTTCCTGTCACTCTCCTGCATCTCCCCTGGCCCCACTGGTGGCCCTGTCGTGACATCAGATGCGGTTCAGTACTATGAGTACACGAGTCCCCACTTGAAACACCACGAGAGTCTGTGTAGGGTCTAGACAGACATCCCACACGCCCCAAGAACCATGCACTGAAAGACAGGCTCAAAGCTGCATTTTTGGAAACTTTGGTGCTGAAACCCCTCAAATGTGTATGTGCTGTGTGCATGTGTACATATGTGTATATGTATGTACATATGTGTGCATGTGTACATATGTGTACTGATGTGTGGGCCTATGTGCATTTGTGCATAGAGCAGAGGTTGTAATGCTTTGTGGGGCCAGGCAAGTCCAATGTAAAACAAGAGTGTGGGGCATAGGATGACCTGGGGAATGTATTTAATCTGCCTAAATGTATTATTACCCCCACACAAAAATACTCTGGGGCCCTATAAAACACAGCTGCAGGTGATTTCTATCCAGAGGCCACTGGTTGCCCCCCTAAGCATTACTCAGAATGTCCCTCGAAGGAGGCCATTCTCTCTGGGTCTGGTAGATGTCTACAAACATATGGCCCTTATCTTGCTCCTAGCTGTGCCCTGAAAGGACGGTGGACCATATTTCCCCCTGCACCTGCCCAGCCTCCGACCTTGATGGTGGTCGTAGGGGGTGCTGTGGTCCTCCAAACTGGCCCCGTCCCCACCTCCCACGCCGACTCACGGCACTCGGGCATCATGCACTTCTCTGTCTGCGATGTCTCGGACTTGCACATGGAGCCATCGGCTGGGCTCATCTTGACCATGCGGTGCCGCTTCTTCATGCCCATCCCGCAGGTGGCGCTGCACTCGTCCCACTCGCCCCACTCGGTCATCAGGCAGCTGCTGGGAGCTGAGGAGTCCCAGGGCGTTGGAGTGGCTTGGGCGACCTCGGGAGCCCCGCGCCCGCCCCGCCCCCTTGGGGCCTCCACTCACAGCACTCCTCGTTGACCGTGCACTTCTCCGTCTCCTCGGTGGGCAGTGTGCACACGGAACCGTCCTCCGGGAACTGCTTCACGTACCTTTCCCGGGACCGCATGCCTGTGCCGCAGGAGATGCTGCAGGGCGACCACGTGATCCATTCGGACATGGTGCATGTGGAGCCGTCTGCAACACACGAAGCGGACGCTGCAGCCCCAGCGCCGCGCGCCAGGGGGCGCCCCAAACAACCCCTCAAGGGCAGGAATCAAGGAGCTAGCTGGCTTTCAAGGGAAGTTAGGCAGTTGAGCATGGAAGAGAACATAAAAGGTATAAAATCTTTAAACCAGGAATTTTTCTAAGAGGAAATGAAATGTCTTTTTCTAGGTGCATGGGGTACTCAAGATTACTCCTTATCTTGTGACAAAACATATGAAAAATGCTTGGATAGATAAAAGGAATATATATATATATATATATATATATATATATATATATATATGTATATATATATATATATATGGAATAAGATATAATTTAATCTACATATAATTTGTCATAATCCATTTGTATGGTCTAGGATGTATCACATTTAAGACCGTTAAATAAAATTTTTAAATTAACTTCCTTGGTCATTAACCACATTTTAAGTGCTGACTAGCCACGTATGGCTAGTGGCTACCATATTGGACAGTGCAGATGTATTAGAACATTTCCATTATGATGGAAAATTCCACTGGACAGCAGAGGAAAGCAATTATATATATTCTGGAACACTGTGTAAGCTCTTTTGCTCAGAGGAACCTGAGACTTTAGTTATCGTCTAGAGCTGCCAGTTTCCCATCTAGAAAAATAGATGAGGGAATTTTGTTCCTGAGGGTACAAAGTGGGACTGGCCTTGGGACATGGGGACCTGAGAACACAGGGCTGGTTTGTGCCCAGAGAGCAGATTATACTAAGTGGCCACAAACATCCCAATGCCTCAGCTGAGAAGACCCCAGCTGCTGAAGGAGAGCAAATGGTGGGGTGGGGAGTGGGGAGAGAATGTCTGTGTGTGTCAGGAGAGGAAGAATGAAGAAGGCAATAAAGCCAATGTGGATATCTTGGACTGTATACGGCTTTGCTGCCATCAGTGGGTGCTAGCAAAGGCCATGGTGAAAAAGATAATTGAACTCATGGCTGGGGTCCTGTTTCAAAGGTGGTGGTGGGGTGTTGCTCCTGGTGGAAGCACAGGTGTGTGTGTGCGCGCGCGTGCGTGCGTGCGATTTCTTAAGAAACACGATTTCTTAGTTCTTAAAAAAGAAGAGGAAAATGAAGTTATTCGTCCACCATCCATCCATTTATATCAATAAAGATTAACTGAATGCTTAGTGGTATGCTCTGAGGTTTAAAAGAGGTGTGATACGAATCTTGTTCTATGAGAGAAAGAGAGAAATTGACAATAATTCCAGGTATTGAAAATATGACAACAGGGGTAAGCCCACGAAATTGGGAAGCACAGAAGAGGGAAAAATCTCACTCCTTCTGGGAGTTCCAGGGAAGATTTCACACAAGAGGGCGCATCTGAGTGCACCTGCTGGGTAATGAATATTGGCATTTAAGGTGAAAGCAAAAACCCCTGGATAGAGTGTATATGTGTGTGGTATTGGGAGGTGAAGCTAGAAAGGATGATCAAAGTCAGAGTGTGAGGCCAGCCTGCACATGGCCACAGGCTGTCACTTGCACGTGTGCAATGCCGACACGTTGGTATTTAACGTACGGGCAGTGTAGCTAGACAGCGCTGGTGGTGCAGCAAGAAATCATAGCTGGAACCCACATATTAGGCCCCGGAACAAAGCTAACTAAAAGTACATGTACAACCAAATAAGATAACTATGCTCCAGTGAGATATGGTTGCGGGGATAGGGCTTGACAAGCCCCAATTCAGGTTTCCCATAACCTGGCAAGACATTACCCTGGGAAGGCAGAATACCCTCACCACCAGCCTGAGTGTCTTCTGAGAGGAAGAGGTTGGATTCAAGAGGTTCAACTCTTCAAGTATCCCTCAAATGATGTCCTCAGGTGCCCTACCTGACACTGTGTCTGTTAGTACTGCAGTATAATGTTAATTATGTTGGATGAGTATTGGAGTGCTGATTTTCACCAGGCCCCCACTTTGGTTTTCTGTAGGACTATTTTGCCAGTAAATTAGGCTGAGGAGTTTGCACATGGGCAATAGGGAGCCACAGGTTTTCAATCTAGGGAGTGACATGATCAGGTCTTTGCAAAAGATTTCTCTAGTGGTGCCCTGGAAGTGGGGAGCGATGACAAGGCCTGGGCTAAGGGGCTGTCTCAGATAATTAGAAAGAAACTCTAAATTGTGGTTGCCACAATAACATTTACACTCATATACTTCCTTCCAAATGTCCAAAGGAGTCTGTGCTTCCTTCATATTCTAAATGCTCACCCAAATAATCAAGTGCAGAAGGAAATGTGATTCAGGCACAAGAGAACTCTATTTGGCTTTAGGTGGAGTAGCTTCTGGGAGCACGGACCCCAGGTACAAAAAGCAGTCGCATTTGCAGAAACAGAAAACTCGATCCTAAAATTTGTATGAACTCTCAAGGGCCCCCGAAGAACCAAAATAATCTTGAAAAAGAAGAACAAAGTTGAAAGACTCATACTTTCTGGTTTCAAAATTTACCACAAAGCTACACTAATCAAAACAGTGTGGTACTGACATATAGACCAGTGGAGTAGAAAAGAGAGCTTGGAAATAAACCCTCACATATGTGGTCACATGACTTTTGACAAGGGTGCGAAGACCATTCAATAGAGAAAGGACAGTCTTTTCAACAAATGGTGTTGGGAAATTTGGATGTCCACATACAAAAGAATTAAGTTGTATCCTTACCTGACACCATATACAAAAATTAGCTTGAAATGGATCAAAGACCTAAACGTAAGAGCTAAAACCATAAAATTTGTAGAAGAAAACAGGGCAAAAGTTTCATGACATTGAATTTAGCAGTGATTTCTTGATATGACCCCAAAGGCCCAGGCAATCACAGGAAAAGTAGACAAATTGGATTTTATGAAAAGTAAACTTTTTTGCATCAAAGGACACTATCAACAGTGAAAAGGCAATTTATGGAATGGGGAAAAATATTTGCAAGTCATATCTTTGATAAAGGATTCATATCTAGAATACAGAGAGAACTCTTAAGATTCAACAACAAAAGACTAAACAACCTGATTAAAAATGGAAAAAGGACTTGAATAGATATCTCTTGAAACAACATATATGAATGGCCAGTGAGCACATGAAAAGATGCTCAACATCACTAATCATTAGGGAAATGCTATCAAACCCTCAATGAGATACCACTTCACATCCATTAGGATGGCAACTTTCAAATAAAAACATAAAATAACAAGTGTTGGTGAGGACATGGAAAGATTGAAACCTTGTGCACTGTTGGTGGGAATGTACAATGGTACAGATGCTGTGGAAAGCAGTACGGCGATTCCTCAAAAAATTAAAAAGTATTACCATATGATCCAACAATTCCACTTCTGAATATATACCCAAAAGAATTAAAATCAGTGTCTCAAAGATATTGGTACACCAATGTTCATAGCATCATTATTCACAGTAGTTAAAATGTGACAGCAACCCAAGTATCCTTTGACAGATGATTAACCCTCCGTCAGGCGCAACTGATCTCCCAGATTCATTGCACACAAAGATGCCGCTATGGAATACGTCTTTACTGTACTAAATCACAAACACAACTGGCGATAGATTATGGTAGAGGGGGAAGATACGGAAATGATGAGTCACGATCCTTAAGTTAACTGTTAGATATTTGAAAATTTGTGTGCAATGAATCTGTGAGATCAGTTGCATCCGATGGAGGGTTTAAATAAACAAAATGTAATATATACATATAAAAGAATATCATTCAGCCTTAAAAAGGAGGTAAATTCTGATACATGCTACAACATGGATGAACCTTGAAGACATTAAGCTAAGTGAAATAAACTGGTCACTTAAAGACAAATACTGTATGATTACACTTATACGAAGTCCCTAGAATAGTCAAATTCAGAGACAGAAAGTAGGATGGTGGTTGCCCGGGCCTGAGGGAAGGGAGAATGGATAGTTATTATTTAATGGGTACAGTGTTTCAGTTTTGCAAGATGGAAAGAGTTCTGGAGTTGGACAGTGATGATAGTTGCACAACAATGTGAGTTTACTTAATACCACTGAACTGTACACTTAAAAATGGGTAAGATGGTAAATTTGATGTTATGTACCGCAATAAAAAAATTGGAAATAAAAGAGCAGGCACAGCTCATTACCATGTGGGAGCCCCCTGAACTGGTATAAGGAAGGACTGTTCCCTTGGAGGGGGCAGTTAAAGATCTTAACTCCCACTGCAGGCCTCAGTCAGACAGCCCACAGCCCCCCCAAAAGACAGCACCTCCAGCGTTTCCAGGCCTGACACAAATGCCGCCCTGCCTGTTTGTAGGAATGGCCTGTCTCTGGCAAGGTTCACTCCCTTCTGAAGCGGCCTGTCATGGCTCAGTTAACAATAAACCACTGTGGGTGGGCAGCCAGGACAGGTGTTTAAGACTGTTTCCCAGGAAGAGCCAGAGTCTGAATGACCTGCACTGGGGTAAGCATTCCTCAGTTATCCACAGCTTGGGAGTGGCTTTCTTCCTGCCATAAACCAGCTCAGCCAAACATCCCTTTCTGTTGCCTTACTGCACCTCTGCGACTGAAGACCACAGAGTACAGAGTATAGACCTGTCCAGAAAGGGCGAGGAGTCATGCTCTGGAAAGTTAGACAGCTGACCTTTGCACAGCAGCCAGCTTAGTGCCATCTTAAACCTTGAGCCATCATGACATAGGTGGTGCAAGCTCATAGTTCAAGCCTGACCTATGAGCAGTTGCAGAGAGAAAGAGAGAGAGAGAGAGAGAGAGAGAGAGAGAGAGAGAGAGAGAGAGAGAGAGAGAGAGAGTGAGAATTCCTACAGTCAGCCCCAAGGGCCTGACACAGGAAGTGAGTGCTGGGATTCAGGCTGAGGCGGGACATACACGAGGGTCCAGGAATGACACAGAATCAGGACAATGGATCTAGATTCAATCTTGCCCAAGCTGTTTACCGGATTCTTAAAAAGAGACTGGAGTTAAGGACCAGCTGCAGGCTGCTTGTTATCTGTGATTTGCCATAAAATGATGGCTAGCTCTGCATTATCTTGTGTTATGTTTTCTTCCATGGCTGGGGGAGGCCGGGGGGGGGTGGTCAGTATCAAGAATCCTTTTGATGTCATCAGATGTGATCTGTGTTCAGAGTCCTTGAGACACTGTTGGAGATGGGGGTCCGGCCTGGGTGGACCCCACTGACAGCTACAGTCAGGGCCCTGGTGCCCCCTAGGGAAGCCGCCTGACTGGGAAGGAGGGGCCAGCCTCACCAGGCAGACCCTCCCTTCTTGAGCTCCTGCCAGCCACTCGCTGGCCTGGTGGCCTCCTCACCTTCGTCACTGCAGCCGGGGCCCATGCAGGGCTGGAAGTCCTGGGTGTCGGGGCAGGGGACGCTGAGGTCCAGCTGCGCCTTCAGCATGCGCTGCCGCATCCTCTTGCCTTTGTCGCAGGTGGAGGAGCTGCAGGCGGACCACGGGGACCAGTTGGAATAGATGCAGGTTTCGGGGGTGTCATCTGGGAAGAGTATGGGACATGTTTTCCTTGGGAACCTGTGGCAGCTGGGACTGGGCCCTCTCCCCAGACAGGCTCATTTAGGGACAAGAAAATCCCTGCGGCCCGACCAGCCTTTGTGAGCCTGGTACTCCTGAGATGGAAGCAGCCCGTCGTTTCCCTTAAAAATGTATATTTTAGCATTCCACTAATAAATATCTAAATAACCTAATCAGAAGGAAAGATTCTCTTACTAGTTATTCCCCTCAACATGTGAAGGTCTTTTCATTTCCAGCCCCTCACCGTGGCAGACAGTGTCTCCACACGGGTGCGGCCGTATCATAGGCAATTTGGGGGAGCACGGGTTTTGTGTCTTGCTGCTTCATCTTCCCAGTGACGCCATACACAGACGTCATGATAAGAATGAGGGCAGCCAATATTCACTGAGCACTTATTATGTGCCAACGTCATTCTAAGAGCCTTACATGTTCTATCCCATTTGATCCTTCCAACAACTCTCTCTCAGGCAGGTTCTGTTATCATCCCCATGTTACAGTTGAGGAAATCGTGGTAGAAAGATGAGCTTCTTGCCCAAGGATACAAAGTGAGAGCCCAGGTTGTCTGGCTCTAGATTCCGTGAGAAAAGTTGAGCTGAAGCTATGGCTCTGCTACTCCCTCCTGACTATAGGATCTGGGCTTCACTTTCCTTGCTGGGGGAAGAGACTACCCACAAGTGCCTCACAGGCCAGGGTGAGAATCACAGCAGAGATGTGAATACTGTGAAGCCCATGCAAAGTCCATTTACATGATCATTGTAAAGGCCCAATACTGTTGAACACATATTCCAGGGTCATTCCTTCACCAATCCCCTGATACCTTGTGCCTAGTCTTGACCTTGTTTGGATCATTTTGCAAGCAAAAATCCTCAAAGATGGGATCACTAAGTCAAAGGATATATTTATGGTTTTTAAAACATGTTAGCAAATTGCTTTCCCAAAAGATTGTGCCAATTTATGTTACCACTGGCAACAAAGGGAAATGACATACCTTCATCTTTCTCTTCCGGAGCCAGGTCTGCTACAATATCATCCACGTTGTCAGGTACAATATTGCATTGTTCCCCCTGCAAAAAGAACTTTACTTGGAGGTCTCACATTACAGAATGGAATGTGTGGTATTTCATCTCTTCTTGTGGAGGAGTAATATTCCATTGTATATATGTACCACATCTTCTTTATGAAATGCTGCCATTTGCGACAACATGGATGGATCTTGAGATTATCATGCTAAGTGAAATAAGTCAGACAGAAAACGTGGAGAGCCATATGATTTCACTCATAGGTGGGATAAAAACTGAAAGCAGCAAACGAACAAGACAAAAACTCATAGACACAGACAACAGTTTAGTGGTTACCAGAGGAAAAGGGGAGAGGTAGAAAAGGATAAAGGGGGTCACATATATGGTGACAGGAGGAAATTTGACTTTGGGTGGTGAACACACAATGCAATATACAGATGATGTATTATAGAATTGTACACTTGAAACCTATATAATTTTATTAACCAATGTCATCCTAATGAATAAAAAAATGGAATGTGCTAGGGAAAGATGAGGGAAGATATATAATCTAATGGCCCATCCTGTATACAGGTCCTAGGCCATAGTGGAGTCTGGGCCAACATTTACAATCTGACTGAAAAAGAAATGGCAATGAAGTCACAGCTTTCCAGTTCCTGACCCATGGCAGACATTAGTAATCGGTTATGGAACTCATGATGAAACCTATTTGTCTGGATCAAATCATTCAATTGAGCATCAAAACCTACTACGATGTTCATTTTGCTCATTTACATCTTATGAATAATTTGCATACTAGAAACCTTGGGAGGCCCAGGAATTCTATATCCTGGAGTATGCCAGGAACCCCATGATTTTAGAGCAGAAAGGGGTACAGTCTCCTTGCACTCCTGGAAGGAAAGGCACAGGCCAGGGTGAGTTCTAACCCAGTACCTTCCGGGCGATTCTCTCGATGACAACTCTGGCTACTTGAGTGATGGACCCGCCCTCTGGATCGTAAAAAGGACTCTGAGGATGGTCCAGACTGGTCAGGGGCCGGATTTTCTCCTGGGGAATTGTAGGCTTGTTGGGCGACTGCAGTAAAGGAAAAACACAGATACAGAGAGTGGGAAACACAACTGGTTAAAAACCGCAAAAGCAATTTGATTGTAATATGATCAGAACAGAAACCTTGATAGGAATTTAACTAGCATAACTACTATTTATATTATGGAATTCTATTCATGCCATGTGTTGTGCATGGAAATTTGTAGATCTATACTTTCAGATTCTTTCACACACAAGGTGGGGTTATGCCCAGATGAAGAAGCCAAGTTTCAGAGAGATCATCCCAACTAGGAAATGGCTGAGCCAGGCTGGCCTGAATCCAGAGCGCTTCCTACTAGACTCAGCGTCGGCAAACTTTTGTCCGCACAGGGTCAGATGGTAAATAGTTTAGGCTTTGTGAGCCAAAATGTATCTGTCGCAACTACTCAACTCAGCTGTTATAGTGAGACAGCAACCTCAGACAATATAATTGAATATGTGAGGCTGGGTTTGGAAGTTTTATTTACAAATCAGGTGGGAGGCCAGATTTGTCCCACAAGCCATGGTTTACCATTGTCTGTTCTAGATTGTTCTACCATTAGTTTTCTGGTGGCTCCAGATTTTGATGTAGTTGGTATGTTGACTATATCTGAGAAATAAAGACATTCAGGAGGGATTCCAAACTCCTTAGCCTGGCTGTCCAGAAACCTTTGGAATATGGCCCAGCCTACTGTACATCGATGTCATGCTATTCCCCATTTTCTCTCTCTCTCTCCCTCTCCCTCTCCTCCAGGCATTTACCTTTTACCTGATCTTCCCTTGCCTACCTATGAACTGCTCTTTAGCAGATTCCCTCTTCATGCTCACCTGGCCAGCTGCATGAACACTTTCCAGAGTCCAAATCAGACTGTATGTGGGTGGGCACGTGCTGATGAGACCATGCTGGCCTCCCCTACCACACAGTGAGTTCCTCTAGGACAGAGCCTGTGTGAGGTTCACCTCTGTGTCTAGGACCCCTGGAACAGCGCTGAGCAAGGAGAAGGTGCTGGGCAAGGTTTGTCACCCATCACCCCAGGCACACACCTACCTCATAGGTCACCCCGCTGTCAGTGCCAGCATCCCAGGGAATCAGGTCTTGCACCACCTTCTGCACCCAGCCACATTCCTTAGTGCACAGGTCCTCCGCAGACAGGCCCACGTTCCAGTCGGGGCTCGGGCCCATCATGGTCAGGAAAGACATTAAATGGCGTGTCCTGTCCACAGAAAATTCAGCCGAGGGTGCTGCTCTCCTGGAAACCAAACACAGAGGCCATTACACTAGGGGCGCCAGGGGTCCGCACTCTGAGGGACATCTGGCCAGGTCATGGCTAAAGGATGAGCGGCACAGAGGGAAGGCGGGTTCTCAGGCTCCCACTGATCTCTGCCTTTGGCCACGACGGGTTTACAGGCTTCTTTCTCTCCCCTGAGTCCATCCATTGGCCACACATGGAGAGAACCATATGCTTCCACCGTCTCCCGTTTTAATGTGTCCACAGCACTTACTGTTATTTTGTATTTTCTTATTTATTTGTTTAGCTGTTTAATGACTATCACCTCTCACTGGACTGTAAGCTCTGGGAAGCAGAACTTTCGTCTGCCTTGTTCATGGGCTTGTTTCCAGTGCCTGGCATGGAGTGGGTGTTCAGTAAATGTTCCTGAGTAAATAAATGAACAAATACTTTGTACTATATGTGTACCCACCTGTGATGGATATGAGATGAACTTTACAAAGAAAAACTGGCTAACAATGCCTCAAGCCTCTTCTTATACATTCTTATTGAATCCTCAGGACAGACCGGGGGTAAGGATGACTGACTCCAATTTATGGATGAGGAAACTGAGACTCAGAAGGATGATGTAGTTTCTGCAAAGTCACAAAGTGGAGTGGCAGAGCAGAGAACACAACCCAAGTCCGCATTCGTTCAAAGTCACTGCTGTTTTCCTCATCAATTTCTAGCTCTTCCCCTGTGTCCCCCTTTTCACTCGACTGAGATCTACGCTGCCATCAGATGGGGCGTCTCCCGCTGCTGCCGCCTCCACTGCCCTCGAGAGGCTACTTACAGCAAGACCCTGCCCTGGCACCTGGCTCTCAGCCATTTCCTCCAGTCGGCGGCAGGGGCCCAGCTACAGAGCGAGAGCCCTTTGGCTGACAATCCTTGAGCTACAGGAGTTCTTCAGCCTATCTCCTCGTGTTGCTACAAAGAGGTCTTTGGATTGGCCATGGCTGTATGAGAGCAGTGGTGCTGGTTGGAGAGTTACAGTCACTCAGCACACATGTGGTGGCAGACCCTCACCCCCATGACAATCCTGCAGGGTTAGAATTACGGGTATTATCCTGTTTTGTCGAGAAGAAAGTAAAGTGTCTAGAATTTCATGAACTTAGAGATGGTAGGAGCCGAGGTCTGAAGGCAGCTCTGCCTGACCCTACACCCCCAGGCTGCTTATCGTGGGGAATCCTTGGCTGGAGATCAACTCGTCTGTTCAGTCCAGCTGGCAGCTGGTCCACCTCAGCTGTGTAGGTGTCCCTGTGTCCCTCTGTTGGGACCAGCTGCTTCGTTGCTCTCACCTGTCCCCAGAAAGCAGTGACTTCAGGCCTGGTTAGGCCCAGTGGAACTGGACCCCTTGGGCTCTGGCAGGCCAGCTGAGATCAAATAATGAGCAGAGAGGGAAGGGAAGGAGCCTGGGTGTGCATGCTGGCACCACCTGTTATTGTCGTGTATCCTTGGACAAATTACCACGTCTTTCTGTGCCTCAGTGTCCAAATCTATAAAATGGGGATCCCCCTAGGTTTACCGCAGAGGGGTATTACGAGTGCTCAGTGAGAGAGCTTGCCTATTGCACTTAGCCCAGTGCCTGGCACCTGAGCTATGATTGCTATTACCATTTTCCTTTCCCAACGTGTGTGTTTCCTGGCATGTAGGTGAGTGGTCTCAGCATCTTCTTTAAAGACTTGGCATCTAGGAGAATCATAGTGTGGGGAGCTATGGCATTGCTCACTGAGGAACTAACAGTTCATGGTCCGGGGCCTGCCTTCCATTAAGTGCCAGGCAGAGAGCACTGGCCTCTGGATGGGGCTGCGTTACGCCCCACCCTCTTAGGCTCCTGGCCCCTGGCAGTCTAGCAGTGTCTTGGAGAGCAGGCTTTCTCTTCCATTGCCATACAGACCAACCAGTACGCCTATTAAGTGCCCATCTCCCTGAGCATGTGGCTTTGGGTCAGATTAGTCATTCATATCCTGTACCCCATGGGTGACACTAATTATTATGACATCCTAAGGGGACAAAAACAGCTGTGCTCAGGAATCTGGAGCAGGAGAAACCAAGTCAGTCTCCACCCAATACACCTTCCTGATACACTGCCCAGCTGATGGATGGAGGCATCTGACGACCTCGTGTTTTACAAGGCCTTGGGCAAATCATTCTCTGCAAATGCATTTTGGCCAAGTCTGTAGTCCAGGGAAGCTGTAGTCCAGGGGAGGTATCCTCCAGACCTTGGTACATATTTCAAGAGGTAGGAAATTTGCAGTAACCGATTCCTGCACAAAACGCCTGACCTCAGGTTGGGTCATATGGTGAATTTGAATCTATATATAGGAGCCTGGGGGCCATTTTCTAACATAGTCAGCTTCTCCCTGCTGTCTTCTGGTTCCCTTGCCTGGAAATGCGCCCCCTGGTCCCTAGCTTCCATAATACATCCTGGAGGAAGTTCTTCCTGACCTCTCCTCAAATTGCTTATTAGCATGTTGAATTCATTCTTTCCTTGGAGTGTCTTGTTTCATTTCCACCATCCCTGCTAGATTTTTGTAGAGTAGAGACCATTTTTTTGCCTTGTTCACAGCTATTAATATATCCCAGTGCCTGGCTTAGAAGTCGGGGTGCAGTGGCTTCTCCTCAAATGTTTGTTGAAATAAATGAATTAACCTAGGAAGTGAGCATGCAGCTCTCTACTTCCTTTGACATTCAAATGAAATTTAAAAATCACCTCAAAGTATTTCTTACTTCTAGAATATAAATGCTATTTAAAATAATGAAATGGCTAAGAACATATGTGAATTTTCTTTAGGGAATGCTATATATGATTGGAGTCCTTTAATTTGTCCAAACCTTAATAAAAATTGTTATTCATGCTTTCTTACATGCCACATTTTCCCATATATGATATTTTGTTAATTTGGTTTCATTTTCCTGTCTGGGATTTAAATTCCAAATCAGTTTTCTAGCAAAGAGAGTTGACCTGGCCATACCATATAACAGAATATATGATAAAACATGATAATTAAAATGATGTGATAGTCAGGATAAGAAAGAAATATAAATCAGTGGCATAGACTGGAGATCCTAGAAACTTGAGATAAGGATTTATACAAAATTAGGGGGAAAGGAAAGATTGTGCAACAAATAGGATTGAGCTAAATTAACTGCAATTTAAAAATATGGGCTTCACATCTAATATCATACATCCTCCCACCAGCCAAAAAAACAAACAAACAAAAACCAGAGTTATATAGAAAACAACCAGATTATAGAAAAAAGTCAAGTTTTGAGATCTGTTAAAGAAATGTTAATTTTCTCAACTTTGAAACAAGGAAAGCAATCACAAAGGTAACCACTTGAATTATACCCCGACTAAAAACATTTGTATAATGAAAACAACAGTATTGAATTAGAGACAAAGCATGACATGTTGGCAAAAAGGTCTCCCTCTAGTGCAAATCACAAGTGTGAATATCTATAGCATATACAGAGCTAGATGCTAAATTTGCAAGAAAAAATATCACAATCCCAATAGACAGAGTTATGAACAGACAATTCACACCAGAAAAAAAAGAAAACCAAGTGAAGACATGGGGAAATGTTTTAACTTTTTACATTCAGAGAGGCAGTGTGTTGTGTAGGGAAAAAGGGTACTGGAAGAGAAAGCTGGAGTTGAGTCTTGGTTCAGTTACTTATTAGCTATGTGCCAGAGGCTCTGATCTCACCTCTCTTTGCATTTACTACATCTGCAAAATGAGATCATCATCATACCTGCCTCCCCCGCTCCCGGGTTTTTTTGAGGAAGTTGCTTATCAACACACGTAATAAGATTTGGTAAATGTTAGTTTCTTTCTCCACAAAACTTCCAAAAACACCACAAAAGAGGCAATAAAGGACTTTTATGGTCCTTCTAGAGATTTATTATCCCGTTCTAAATTACAGATCCATACCAGTGAGACTCGGGTTACGGGTGAGACTCAAGTCCACTTGGTGATTCAGGTCGCTCATAATTACTGAGTTTTGTCCCTCAGTAATCCCCAAGAGCGTCCGAGGTTGCAGAAACTCAACATGGCCACGAGAAGGCGCTCGAACCATGCACAAGGGCGCTCGAACCATCCACAAGGATGAAGTCCTGTGCGGGTGGAGGAAGGTTTTCAGTGAGCTTTCCGGACTTGGAAAGCTGTTTATAACCTGAAGGCATCTAGGGCTCCGGGTCCATCTGGCTGATTAGGTCCTCTAGTCCAAGGCCAGTCTTCCTTTACAATCCTGAGGACACTGATGGACCTGGGCAGGTGCTACAGGAGGAAGGGACGGCCCTGTACCTTCAGCCCTGATTTGGAAGAAAGATGCCTCTGACCTCATGTGGATCCATGGCTTGGGGTGATTATGGGACACGGAAACTCCAGAGGCAGGATCACTGGAGAGGGGGACCCTGTCTCCAATTCACCTGCCGCTCATCTGTCTCGCAAACACAGATGGTTGTCTCATCACATGTTAATTAAACAGAGTGGCTGGGAATAATTAAGGGGACTACAGTCCTTATAGGGCTCATTATAAGAAAGGGAATAAAAATTCTTTTGAAAAGCTCCAGTAATTCCTAGCGTTTAGACTAAACCGGAGGAACTGGGTGGTGGAAATTCAGAATTGATTGGCAGGAAACCTGGGCATTTTCTACTCAGGTGCCAGGGGAAGTAGTGAAGGAAGCCATCTTTCCTGTTTCTACCTGTGCTCTGGGCTGTTGGAGCCACAGCTTGAATTATTGAGCTAAACAAGTCAGCAGCTAATTTGTTCATTCATGGCCGTCCTTTGAGAAGTGGTCCTGCGGATAAAGATGAAGATCATTGAAAAACAAGTCAGTTTCCACGGGCAGGACCTCGCAAAGTAGGTCACCCCAGCTTTCCACTGGCCCGAGGGAGGCTGGAATCCCATTAACCTCAATCGAGCAGGCTCCGTGAGGAGGGGCAGGGCTGTGTCTGCAAAACAAAACTTGGCTACACAGAGGCTTCTAATTTGACTTCCTAATGAGATTTGGAAGAGGGAAGGGGGAAATGGGGTCTGGGAATATCAGAGGAAAATAACTTTCCCTTAACGTGCTGGTAGCACTGAATGGAGAGGGTTCGGGTGTTTGGGAGGTCTAAGTGTGTACCATCAATTAATTCTGTTCCACTGGGGTCTTAGGAAGTCTGAGGGATGGGTGAAGGGTGGGAAGGTGCCCCCCAATTTTTTTATTTTTCAAATTTTCAGAAAGTGTCTCCCATCTTAAAAAAGGAAAAAAAAAAGGCCCATTGACTCTTTCATCCCCTATGAACAACTGCCCAATCCCTTCATTCAAGGCAAGCTTCACAGAGGAGTTGTCTGTACTGACTCCGTCACCTCACTTTCTGTTCACATTTCACCCTGTTCCCGGGTGTTTACCTCTCCCCCCATCACTCAACAGAAAGGAGTCTCAATAAAGTCACTGATGGACCTACATGCTGATAAATCCAACGGGCATTTTGCAGCTGTAATATTCCTTGATTTCTCAGCTGCACTGGACACGGGCTGACCACTGTCTCGTTGAATGCTTTCTCCACTTGGCTTCCCTGATACCAAGCTTCCTTCTCCAGTTTCTTTGCTTTACTTTTCTGTTTCCTTTGCTGACAAATCTTCCTCAGCATTAAATGTTGGAGCTCCTCTGGACTCAGCCCTAAGCCCTTGACTTATTCTCAAGGTCTCTCTCATCCATAACCTTGCCGTTGATTGCCTCCCATTCCTTGATGACTCTTAGTTCAGAATTCTCCCCCTGAATTTCACAGCTTTATAATGTGTGCTTAACACCTCCAACTATTGGGTCGTCGGAAAAGTCATGACGTATTTTTCTAGGTTTTTCGTTGCAAAAATGCGTCATGACTTGACGGATGACCCAATAGATATCTTGAAGGCATCTTCAACATGTACCATCCAGAATTGGACTATGATCTGTCCCACTGAACTTCATTCATCTGATGTTCCGAATCTTAGGAGAGGCTCCACCAACTCATTAACTATGCATCTTGACCTCTTTGCCTCTCTCATCCTCCTTATCCAACCTATTGCCACAGCCTGTCAGTTTTTACTCCTACACATCTCTCATATCTCTGCACCTGTCCATCTCCACCACCACCATTTTGGTCAAAGTCACTATTAAGCCTCCTCTGGACCTCTGCCTCTTCCCTGGTCTCACCTCATTTACTCTTATCCTTTTCATGGTGGACCCAGAGTGTTGTTATTGTTGTTGTTTTAATCTAAGTCTGATCATGTTGTCATCCTGCTTCAATGATTTCCTTCAATGATTTCCCATTACTGTTAATGTAAAAATCAAAAGCCCTAATGTTTCATGGGTTGGCCCCACATCAAGCTCAGCTTTGATTTCTGGATATAGTTATACCATGACCTGTTAGTACTTTATACTCTGCTCCCTCTTCAGGGCCTTTGCACATGATGGTCTCTCTAGACTTTCCAGAATGTTCTCCCCTTGCTTTGCTTCTTTACCTAGTTAATCCCATTGATTCCTTAACTTTTAGCCTAATTCCAATTTTTTCAAGAAAGCTTTCTCTGACCCCTCAGGCTGGGTTGAGGTCCCAATTATACACTCTCATGGCACCTCATGTCTTTATTTCATAGACATGTCACATTTGTCATCATTTGGTTACTGTCTCTCCCCCACTAAACTGTAAGCTCCTTGAGAAACTGCTCTGCTCATCACTGGATCCCTAAGCGCCTTTCACAGTACTTTTCCTTTGGAGATCCCCGATAAATGTTTGTTGAGGCAATTAAATGTTTTGTTCACCCTTGATAGAAGGGCACAGGGTAAGTAAAAGTCAAGAGCTTGTTTTATTTTGTGTTGCGGTGGGAGTCAGACAATTTGGTGTGGTCACACTGCTAATTTCATGCTGATCAGAAGTCTGATTGGCAGATATATATATATATATATATATATATATATATATATATATAAAGGTAAAAGGAATTTTCTCTTCTTTCTTCCTTTCCTCTCTTTTTTCCTTCCTCTCTCCTTCCTGAAGCACCAGCTTTGTATTACATCTTTCTGAACCCAGACTTCTTAAGGGAACACCGATATAAGGGTTAGTTGGTGGTATAAAAACAGGTACCCACAAACTCTGTGGCCCAGATGACCCCCACTCCTACCTGGCTTTGAGCCCCTGCCTACTTAGAGGACCAAAGGTGAGGAATTCTTCACATATAGGTCCTGGGAGCCTGGGAACTTGGAGAAGCTGAAGAGAAAGCCTGAACAAACTGGCTTCAGGGTTGACCTTTTTAAAATTGATGTTAATTATGCAATGGGGGCTGAGGGCCTTTGTGAATTCACATGTGTTTTTTTGGTGGGGCTGGTGTGAGACAGGCAAATGCTCACCCACCCAGAAAGAGCCCGGGGCAGCAGGCCCCGCTCTGTTGCTTCTCCTTGGAGAGAAAGCCACTTCCAAGGCTGGGTAAGTTTTCGACTACAGTTGACCCTTGAATAACATGGGTTTGAGCTGCCTGGGTCTACTTTTATGTGGAATCATTTCAATAAATACATACAGTCCTGTAAATGTATTTTCTCTTCTTTATAATTTTCTTAATAACATTTTCTTTTTTTCTAGTTTACTTTATAGTAAGAATACAGTATATAATCCACAAAGCATGCAAATATGTGTTACTAGACTGTTTATGTTATTGGTTAAGGCTTCTGGTCAACACTAGGCTATTAGTTAAGTTTTGAGGGAGCCAAAAGTTATACGTCGATTTTCAGCTGTGCAAGGGGGTCAGCACCCCTAACACCTGTGTGTTCAAAGCTTAACTGTGCTCTGACCTCAGCTTCCTCAGAGGAGATCCAGAGCAAGGCTTGGAGATCACAACAAGCTAGACAAAGCCTCCATGCAGCCAGCCGGGCTGCCCTGGGTCAGCTGTCCTTGTCCTCTCTTGCTCTCCTGAAGCCTCCGCTTAGGGTCACAGCTCCACCCACACCTGGGCCACCCCAGAGCAAGGACCATCCTTCCAGACTCAGTCCCATGGTACTTTCTGCACAAAGACTTCATGACCTCTTTCCAACCCCTGGTTGGGTTGTGCCCCTTCTCTGGGCTGCCAGAGCCACTCTATTCTCATCATCACACTTACCTTCTTGGAGTGGGACATTATGTTGTGTATATTCTGTACACATGGTGCCACTTGGATTTGTGTGAAGGGCAGACCTGGAGTGGTAGAACTCTATTGTCTGTCTCCTTCTCGCTGAGCATCCCAAAGGGAGGGGACTGTGTAGAAGGCTGGCACATAGTAGGGGAGGAGCCATTGATTTGCTGAATAGTTAAACAGGCAGCACCAGGTGCCTGGCAACCGCTTCCCTGCTCCCAGCTGGCCATGCGTCAGCATTTCTCCTCCCTCCGCTCCTGCGGCCCCATCCTGTGGAGCCTTCCTTTTGAACGTCCTGTACTTCCCTTCCCATCGCTTTGAGTTTGCCTTTCCTCCCCCTGAGCCGCATCTCACACATTCCCATGTTGTTGCCATCGTTATCAATGCCATCGTTAGTGGGTGCCGACGGCTCCACAGAGGGGCTAGCCAAGCCACTCTTCGTGAACCGTTTTCTTTTGGTTGACTGGGAACTTAGTCTGCTCCAGGCCTTGCATCCATAAAGGATGAATGAAATCAAGGCTTGTTCAAGGAACGTCATGGGCTATAGGGTGGCCGGAGTGAGGTGCAGAGTAGGGAGTAGCACGACATGAGCCCTGGGGCAAAGGGCGCAGGGGCTGAAGTGTGCTGTGCTCACTGTGATCTCACAAGGTAAACTGATGAGTTCAGACTTGATCCTGGAGGCTCAAGGAGGTTATGGAGGGATCCTAAGGCAGGGAATCAGATTTGGATTCTTAAACGATCACTTTGGTAACAGTGTGGATGAAGGATTAGATGGGGAAGACCACAATAGAGGGAAGAATTGAAATAGTCCAGGTGAGAAAAGGTGGTGGCTTGAACTACTGGCAGGAGAGTTGCCAGGTGAGGACTGATTTATGAGATACTAAGAAGGGAGAGTCAACAGGACTTGGTGATGAGTTGCATATTGCATATGACAAGTTCAAGGTCCATGTGAGCCATCCACATAGCAGTGTCCAAGAGATTGATGGATCAATGGGTTTGTCTATCTACCTACCAACGTACCTGCCTGGGGGAGTGGTGGTTTTGGGACCCATCAGCATACCCCTGGGAGGGTGAAACATCCAAGAAATAGAGTGGACAGAAAAGACATGGGGACTGAGAATGGAACCTGGGGTAAACCTCGCTTTCCATGAGGCAGACTTGCTTAGAGTGAGTACACCTCTGTGCTCGGAGGGTGAATGTATGTTCAGTCTGTTGTGGCTGAGAGCATGAGGAAACGCACACCATAACAGGTTAATTGTTATGCCTGAGTTGGGTCCTCTGTAGTGTTAGAGCCATCCGGGAGAAACAGAGACCAAGCCTGCATTCCCGAGAAGATGGGGCACCTGTGATACTCCACATGTGGGCAGTGCACCTCACCTGTTTGCCATCTAAGAGCTATTGCCGACTTTAATGACCTAACTGGCATGCGGTGGCCATTAGGTGGGAGTCTCCAAGTCCAAGGCTAGGACAGGGCAGGGCAGGGCCAGGGTCTGTTTGGTACTTACACATTGAGAGGCTGCCAGGCTGGCCACTGAGCTTTGGCTTTGATGACCGTGAGGACCTCATCACTCTGCAAAAGAGGACCACAGGTGTTTAGTGAGGAGAGCAGGGCTCATGGGAACAAGAGGGCTTTGACATGGTGACACTGTCCACTCCTACTCACTTAACCTGCTATTGAGGTTCTACCTGCCCAGGTGTGGGAGCCATCCTACCCCAGAGTTGGGGAGCCCTGGAACCTGGGCAATCCCAAAAGGTGGGACTGAGTGTCCCGTGTGCCTAGAGTGTGCTGAGCATCATTGAGCACACAATTGGTTACTAGCTCAGCCCATCTCTTCCACACTGGAGCCAGGCTCTGCCTTGGACTCTACCTTGGGCGGCCAGACTTCCATATGTGTCCAGCCTGGAGGGGGCAGGTTGTGTGCTCTGTGTCCAGGCACCTGCTGGGGCTCGCTCCAGGCCATGTTGCAGCAGGAGTTGCAATGAACCCAACATCTGACCCCAATGATTGTCAACCCTGAGGCCTCTCCTGCTGTTGAGATCCCCTCACGGGTCAGACTCCCTTGGGTGTGGAGGCCAGAACGAAGCTGGGGGCCCGCACCCCTGTTCCACTCATGTCATTCTGCTCTGTTTTGCTTTGGACAGTGTGTAGAGCGCCCTTAAAGCGTGGGGACCTAGAATACATTTTTGAGGAAGAATTTGACAATAACATTTTAATAGAAAGCATTAAGTCATCATCGTGGGGAAAAACCAGAACTTCGTTGCTCTTGCTAAACTTTGAGGTTTATTTGGGTTCTTATTTTGAATTACACATTGGGGTGAGGGGTATCATACTCTTTTCAAGGCTTAATGCTTCCACAGATCAAATTTGGCTTTGGCTGGGGACGTTCCCCAGAGTGGATTCAGCTGGTCTTGGATCTGTCTCCCTTTCCCCTGACCTCAATCAGCCCTGCAGGGCTCAGACACCACCATCCACTGTGTAGGGAAAAGCCCAGGACACCACCAGCTGAGGAAGGAAGGGCTTTGTCACTGACTGAACAAGCTCTGAGTTCTAGGAGGGCAGAGACGTGTTTGGCTGGCTCGCAGCTCTACCCCAGTCCTTAGCGCCATGCTTGGCAGTTAGGTACTTAGAACATATTTGGGATGAATTGATGGACTTCTCCTTCATTGGGTACCTTGCCCAGAGAATCCCACAGCCCTGAGGAAACTAGAAGGAAGGTGGTCAGAGGTGTCTCCAGGCTCAGGTCCAAAGATTCTCAAAGGGCTTCTGGTCCACAGCACCTTGTCTGCAGCCCAGGGAAGGGGTTGTTGGGTGGTGGGCCATTGAAAGGAACAGAGCTCAGCCAGCTCCAGCTTGGCCTGGGTGCCTACAGGTGGTCCTAGTGGGGTGAAGGGCAGAAGTGGGGCCCACAGGGACAAGCCACAGGGGCACCCCTCGGGGAAGCTCGCAGCCTCTTCCTGAGTGCAGGCTTCCCTGGGGGTTCCTGGTCAGAGGAAAGAATGTTGGATGCATAGATAACCCACATTCACATGTCTGCAGGGAGAGCATTTCCAAGTCCCAACTAAGCGGCTTACATTTCTCATGAGTTGGTTTTTGTTTGTTTGTTTTGTTTTTTAAGAATGTCTCTCTCATTCATTCCTAATAAATATCTCTTGAATGACTGAGAGAAGCTGCTTACCATGAAGTCACATGTGAGACATAACCTATCTCCTGAATGCCAGCACTGTGTCGCCCATGACCTGGGTTTCCTATAGTCACCTTACCCGTTCCCTGTCGCATGCTCAGCTCTTCACCTGACCCCAGAGTCCTGCTCCTTGTCCAGCAGGTCCCGTGTGGATTAAAGGCACAGCCACCAGCTGCCTGAACCAGATGCTGGCATCATTAGCCTTCTTCCATCTCCAGCCCCCTCACAGTGGTCAGGCCCCCAACATCCACTGAGTTCACAGCCTTAACATCTCTTGAATCCGTCTGCAGTCTCCCCACTGGTTTCCTGGTCTCCTGTATCTTCTTGCTTTCTCCCAACTCACCCTCCACATCTACAAATCCGACCATATCCATTCCTTGCTTAAACTCTTCAGCAGCTCCCCACAATGTCCATGATAATGTCTTCATCCCTGGTATACATTTTCGACTTTTAATTTCACAACAATACATGCTTGTTGTAAACCAATTTAGCATCACAGAAGCACACAAGTAAACGCTGAGCATTTTCCACTTTGGCATCTACCTGCCTTCCTCCCTCTTCTCCAGAATGTTACAGTTTTGTGTGGATCATTCCAGGCCTTTGACGATGCATATGTAACTATGTATGTTGTGTGTACATTAGACACAGCTTTCCCCACAAACATAGCATCACACGGAGCATCTTATTCTGTGCCATGATTTTGACATTTCTTCTTGATATCATATCATGGGAAACGTTCCATGTCAGTATTTATAGCATCAGAGCGCTGCTTTGTTGATTTTTAAAATGTTGGAGATCTTCAAATTGTGGTTAGCCAGGTCAAGATTAATAAAAAATGAAATCCAAGGCACGAGATACTGTCTGATGACAATCGTTTTGCCACTGAAGGAACGCTTTACTAAAAAGAAAAAAAGTCAATGTGGGTGGAGTTAAGGTGGCTCCCACGTTAGCAGGCCCTGCAGACTCACCTTGTATTACAATGAAATCTTGGTTCTCAAGTCCCAGCTAACGACATACTGATTTTGGTTTTGTGGCATATAACTCAGCAAAAATTGTTTGGGTCCTTCGTTTGTATTTATGTCTGGTGACGAAATTCCGTCTGTATTTCTTAGAGTTATGGTGGCTCCAAGGATGGTGGGTCCATGCGTGCGGGCATTAGAACAGCTTGTTGCTGTAATTTGTTTCCTTTAGTGGCTCCACACCATCTGCAGAATCAACTGCTTATTGTTTCTTGTTTGTGATCATTCATGTTAGCCAGTAAAATAAGAAAACAGGAGCATTCTGTAAAATTGATCTAGAAAGCTAAATATTTTTGTTGACATCAAAAATTCTCTGGGAGAATCTAAGTTCCACAGGATTTGGAGAGTGTCTGACTTGTTTGTGGCTATAGCCAAGTGCTGTGGATGGTCAGGAAGTTTTTGAAAAAAGACAAAGCCACATCACTTTATATATATATATATATATATACACACACACATAGAATTCCATAGCATGAATGTTCTCTAATTTTTTTAACCAATTATTGGTACATATTGACTTGTTTCCATAAATGATGCCATGATGAACATTTGTTATGTATTTCTTTGTTTACAAACCCGAGGGTTCCCACGCCATAGATTCCCAGGAATGATGAAAAGATGAAGCAAATTTAAATTTTTGACAGGGCCAAGCAATTTATCCTTCACATGTCTGCACCGGTTTATCCTCTCACCAGAATGTACAGGTGCCCATGTGTCATGTGTTCACAACTTTGGACACACTGGATACTATCAATCTTTTTAGTATTTACTAACCCGGCAGGCAGGAAAGTAGTGTGGTTGAGAGGCCCAGCTCTCGTGTCACACCTGAGTGCAAATTCTAGTTGCACCGTTCACTAGCTCTAGGTCCTTGGACATGCCTGTTGACCTCTCTTAGCTTTCTCATCTGTGAAATGGGGTTAAAAATAGTATGCACTGCATGGGATGGTTAGGTGGACTATATGACATAATTCATGTAATGTGCTACTACAGTGCCTATCTCAGCATAAATATTAGATACTATTCTCATTCTTACTTATAGTCCAAGCTGGTATTAGAATCGATTTGCACTACTCGAGTACAGAAAGTGGGGCACACAGTTGCACCTACATCTACAAACCCACAAAGCCTCAGGAGAACTGAGAAACCCAGGGAGCAAATGATGGGAGGTTAATGGAGCTGGGTGAGCCTTGGATGGGGCCGCTGGGTCATGAGGCATCTTAGGTTCTGAAGAATGGAGGACTTACGTTCAGAGCAAGCAATCCAAACTTCAGACTGAAAACAAAGCCGTTTTAACAAGTCTCCAAGGCATAGAAAGGATCTTTCGGCAACCTTAGAGCCCAGATACATCTCCCATAGGACGCTATTCAAACGAAGTATCTCAGGGCATTCTCAGTTCATGCCTCGTTTGGATGATGTTAGCACTGTTCCATAGATGTGCCAATTAAAATTAAAAAAATAAAAGAAGCTGCAGGTCACTCATGTCCATCTTCACGGGGATGGGTTCTTTCATTTTGCTTTCGGTAAACATATCTGGAAGACGTGACAGCTGTACTCAGACTTCGTAGTTACAAAGGGGAATCGCACTGCCCCAAACATGCCACAGGCTGAGGTCAGATCCAGAGGAAGGAGGGATTGTGTGGGAAGGAAACAGGTCTGGGACTGGTTGGAGGCAGAAATCACATCATATCAGGAGATGCCCAGTCTGAGCAGAGCAGAGAGTAAGAATGTGAGGCTTGGGTTTGGGCTGGGGGCTGGTGTTTTCACCGAGCATGTCCTTCACTGACCTTGCCATGCCCTCTAGAGCCACAGTCAATGCGGCAGAGCTCCGGGCATCTCAGCCATGCCCATGGCAAAAGGCCGGGGTCTGTTACCTCCTCCTTGCCTTGCTCCTCTCCTCCTTCTCTGTTTCTGCCCCTTCCTGGATTCTGAGGTTTTGCCTTCATCTCCCAGTCCTGAACCACACCTGTTCGTCATCCTAAGGTGCCCTTTGCTCAGGGACGCACTGAGGCAAAGCTCCCCCATCATAGCATGTCCCGCCCCAGACCTGCAGGCTTGGAGTCTGCCCAGCAAACTTGCCTCTCTCTCCCTGCCCCCGGAAGAGAAATGGGATGCAATCCAGAATCAGAGAGGGAAAAGAATGGAAAGGAGTAGAAACAACAATAACAATAACAACAGGGACCTATTGTTTTTATGTGCTAGGCACCTTGCTAATTACTGTATACTTAGCATCTTATTTAATTCTTACAACATGTTCTCGCAAGGTAGGTATATAATTTTTAATCCTCAGAGACACATTTATTTAACCAAACTAGTTACAGTTAGTCAGTGGCAGAGCTGGAGTTTAAACCTCAGGGGACCACACCCTGTGA